ATTTATTAGGCATATACTAACTCTAAATAGAGTCGTACCTTTTGATAAATCCAAAAACAATAAACAAATTACATCGATCATAACAATTATATCAAGATTAGGAGTATAAGCTCATTTAATGAATTAGAGAAAATATTTTATATGTATTCAGTACAAAAACACCTTTTCTCTACTTGGTCCATTCAATATACACTGAGTATACTAGCACAAGAAGTTGGAGTAAACCTACTCCCATAATCAAGACAAATTATACAATAATCTTGTGCTACAATCATCAAGATATTTTGTCCGATAATATCTTCGATTGTGACATAGTTTATTAATTATGAGAACCAACAATTTAATCTTCTGTGCATGAGCTAAGACTCCATACACTAAATTATCTACTACATAATTAAAAGGACACACATGTTACAAATGATCTATTTAAAACAGTGCTTTATTGAATTGAATAAATTAAATAAAGAATTATTTCATGATGAACAAAATATTATACTATGTCTAAACCGTATGGTTAATAGTATATCCCAACAATCTCCCACTTAGACTCATAACCATGCGTCTAATATTCTAACACCCATTCCTTCTACATGCTTGTCAAAAATCTTCTGTGTCAAGCTCTTTGTAAACCGGTCTGCCAAATTATCCTCCGACGCAATCTTCAACACTCTTGCATCACCTCTTTGAGTTATGTCCCGGATTAAGTGATATTTACGCTCAATATGCTTACTTCTTTTATGGCTTCTTGGTTCCTTCGAGTTTGCAACTGCACCGCTATTGTCACAATAGAGTACAATTGGTGCTTGAACCGAAGGAACCACATTAAGCTCTTTCAGAAAGTTCCTGAGCCAAACAGCCTCTTTAGCTGCTTCAGATGCAGCCACATATTCGGCTTCCATGGTGGAATCAGCAACACACGATTGCTTGATACTCCTCCAACTTATGGCTCCACCTCCTAAGGTAAAAACATATCCTGAGGTAGATTTTCTAGAGTCTCTATCTGACTGGAAATCTGAATCAGTATAGCCAATGGGTGCAAGATTACCTGAGTGATACACCAACATATAATCCCTAGTCCTTTTCAGGTACTTGATTATATGCTTAACAGCAGTCCAGTGTTCTCGACCAGGGTTAGACTGAAATCTGCTAACCATGCCAACAGCAAAGCAGATATCAGGTCTAGTACATAGCATTGCATACATAAGACTCCCTACAGCAGAAGCATAAGGGACTGCCTTCATCTTTTCTATCTCATCAGTCATTTTTGGGGACTGATCTCTTGACAGAGAGATTCCATGTCTAAAGGGGAGAAACCCTTTCTTGGAATCTTGCATGCTAAACCTGGTGAGAATAGTATCAATATAAAGTGCTTGGGACAAGCCTATTATCCTTTGCTTGCGATCTCGCATAAGCATGATCCCAAGGATATGTGCTGCCTGTCCCAAGTCTTTCATATCGAAACGTGAGGACAACCATTCCTTTACTGAATTCAACATGCTCACATTGTTTCCTATGAGCAAAATATCATCTACGTACAAAACCAAAAATGTAACTTTATCTCCATTCCACTTCTTATAGACACAAGACTCATTTTCACATTGATCAAAACCGAATGTCTTAATCGATGCGTCAAAACAAGTGTTCCATGCCCTAGAAGCTTGTTTCAATCCATAAATGGATTTCTTTAATTTACACAACATGTGCTCATTTACACTTTTTATGAAACCAACTGGTTGTGCCATATAGATGCACTCATCAAGACTTCCATTTAGAAAAGCGGTCTTGAGATCCATTTGCCAGATCTCATAATTGTAATGAGCCGCAATGGATAAGAGAATCCTTATGGATTTAAGCATGGCTACTGGCAAAAAACTTTCCTCATAATCGATCCCTTCTTTTTGAGTAAACCCTTTTGCGACAAGCCTAGCTTTAAAAGTTTGCACTTTTCCATCCACTCCTCTATTTTTCTTATAGATCCATCTACAGCCTATGGGTTTGACTCCAGTAGGTGGTTCTACAAGATCCCAGACTTGATTTGAGTACATGGACTCTATTTCAGATTTCATAGCATCAACCCATTTATCAGCATCTGTATCATGTAGTGCTTCGTCGTAATTAATAGTTTCTATATTAGGCTCTTCGGGGATTCTATCATAAGATTCTCCCAAGAGCGCAAACCAGAGAGGTTTTCTAATAATTCTCCCACTACGACTAGTCACTACAGGTGGAGGCTGATTTTGTTGTTGAATGACATCACCACTTCCTTGAACTGAAGCCTCAATGTTATTTTCCACACCAGGCGGTGCTAGGATATCATTGACTTCTTCCTGGATTGCAGGATCCCTCCCAGATTGGCTCTCAGAATCAGAGGCATTGTTCTGCCGCGGTCCTGCCGCGGTTACGCCAAGACCGCGGCTAGAGGGGCCTGCAGAATCAGAGGCATAGTTCTGCCGCGGTCCTACCGCGGTTACGCCAGGACCGCGGCGAGAGAGGCTTTCGGATTCTTCAGGTTGCATAACAATTTCAGGTTGTTCAACAACCTGAGGTTGCTCAACAATCTGAGGTTGCTTAACATTATTTCCATTACTTTGGGGTAGTGAGATGTCAGGTAATTGTTCTTGTACAATCTGCTGCTTATTGACATTTCTCCCACTACGATAATGTAGTGGTATGTCAATGCTGGCTTTCGGGATACGTTCAAGAGATGAGTCGTTAGTTATTCCATTTTTTAATTCCTGTAAAACTAGTTTACTTCTAGGAATATGGTTCGTTAGATAGTCCTCCTCTAAAAATCTAGCATTTGTCGTAACAATTACCTTCTTTTCTTTGGGACAATAAAACAAATCGCCTTTTGTTCCTTTTGGATATCCAATGAAAATGCATACTTCTGTCCTTGATTCCAATTTATCCGCTTTCCCTTTCAGCACATGTGCTAGACAACCCCAAAACTGAATATGCCGTAAACTTGGCTTTCGCCCAGTCCACAATTCTATTGGAGTTGAAGGTACTGACTTTGAAGGAACCAAATTTAGAATGTAGTTTGCTGTTTCTAAAGCATATCCCCAAAAGAAAAGAGGCAAATCGGAATAACTTAACATTGATCTAACCATTCCCATAAGGGCTATTTCTTCTTTCTGTCACACCATTTTGTTGTGGTGTTCCTGGGGCGCAGATAATTGAGATGTAATTCCATCATCTGATAAGTATTTTATGAACTCCGCAGAAAGGTATTCACCACCACGATCAGATCGCAATGTTTTGATATATTTATCATGTCGTTTCTCTGTTTCCGTCTTAAATTCTTTGAATTTGTCAAAGCATTCAGACTTACGGCGCAACAGATAAATATATCCATATTTTGAGTAATCATCTGTGAAAGTCACAAAATACTCGTAACCACCTCTTGCTTGTATATTCATAGGACCACACAAATCAGAGTGAATTAATTCTAGCTTATCACTGGCCCTATTTCCTTTTGAGGGAAAATGTCTTTTGGTTATTTTACCTTCTAAACAGGATTCGCATGTTGGTAGTGACTCCACTTTCAATGAACTCAAAGGTCCATCAGAGACCAATCTCGAAATCCTATTTAGATTTATATGGCCTAGACGTAAGTGCCATAAATAAGTTTGACTCAATTCAGAAATACGTTTTCTTTTATGTGGTAGATTAATATTATTTAGTTCTTTTGGTTGTTGTAGCACAGGGGGAGATATATCAAGAACAAAAAGGTCATGTAGTCTAGCAGCTTTGTAGATAAAACGTCTATGAAACTTAATAACAGCAGAGTTATTAGCAAAATAAACATTATAACCAGCATACATTATTTTCGAAACCGAAATCAAATTCCTTCTAATGGAAGGTACATAGAGAACATCTTTTAAAACTAAAACTCTATCACTACTAAACGAAACACTAATATCTCCTAAAGCTAAAGCTGGTGCTGGCTCGCCATTGGCTTGATAAACGCAAACTTCATTCTCACTTAGCCGCCGCGTTTCCTGAAACCCCTGCAAAAAATTGCAGATGTGATTAGTGGCTCTCGAATCTACACACCAAAATATGGTAGAAACAGCCGCTAAACAAGTTTCAACGACATTTAAATTTGAATTACCTTGATTATTCAACTTTGCCAGATAGTCGGGGCATTGCTTCTTGTGATGCCCGGGTTGCTTGCAATGATAGCACTTGCCTTTGGGCTTGTTCACACTAGCCGCACCACCAAGTGCCATAACCTTTTGAGCCTTCTTCTTTTTCTTATTGCCTTTCGACTTAGAAATTGAAGGTTTCTCTTATATTTAGTGCCACAACTGGATCTTGTTGTTTGATAATAGATTCTGCCGCTTGCAGCTTATTCAACAATTTTGCTAGTGACAAATCCATTTTTTTCATATTATAGTTCAAGCGAAACTGTTGAAAACTGTTAGGCAGAGTCTGCAGGACCATCTCAACTTGAGACTCCCTATTAATCACAGCTCCAAGGACCTCCAGTTCATTCAGAAGACTCATCATCTTCAGAACATGGTCCCTGATCGATGATCCTTCAGCCATCTTTGTGTTCAAAAGGGCTTTCATGGTTGTCTGCTTAGCTGCGCGATTTTGCTCACCGAACATCTCTTTGAGACTTTCGAGCATATCGTAAGCAGACCCCATGGACTGATGCTGATGATGCAAAACATTTGCCATAGAGGCAAGAATGTAACATCGCGCCATCTCATCAGCCTTAACCCATTTGTCATAGGCCTTAACCTGATCATCCGTAGCATTTTCAGGTTTTTCTGGGCACTCCTTAGTGATTACAAATTTGTAACCTTCAGCAGTTAGGACAATATCAAGGTTCCTTTTCCAGTCAACATAATTTGGTCCTTCTAACTTGTTTTGGTTCAAAATTGAGGTAAGTGGGTTGAATGAAGACATGGTTAATATGGGAGATATTCACATTAAATAGATCATTACTTATGTATTAAGAATGATTAAATTCAAAATTACACATTACACATATAACCATGCTCAGTGAACAGTTAGATTTGTTAGGAAAACTTAACTATTCATGCAAAATATATGAGTGATGTCAGATATTAACCCCATATATTTAAACAGGAGCAACTCAGTTGGAGAGTAAACTGTTAATTTAAGATAGGTAAATATCACTTTTTATAAAACTCTAGTTTCATTCAATCAACATGTAACTCGGTTGGAGAGTTAATACAAGTAATAAAATAACTAGATGCTAAAGAAAAACACAGTAATTATCTATAATGAATTTATCCGATGTGGAAGAAGACCTATGTCAACATATAAATTCACTGTAGAACCCGTTTAATTTAGGGTTTAGGGCCTAAAATTGCGTGTTTTGCAATTTGGGCTCCAAAGGTTGCATGTACTGCCGCGGTCCTACCGCGGTTACGCCAGGACCGCGGCTAGAGTGACCTTCAGAATCAGAGGCAGTGTTCTGTCGCGGTCCTACCGCGGTTACGCCGGGACCGCGGCCATACAATACATGATTTCAAAAAAAATGTGTTTTGAGAGGATTAATCCAAAAGTTCTGTATATTAATCCAAAATTACAGAATATCATACAAAACATTCGCGTTTTTAACATAGAATAATTATCCGAAACATGTATCAATGAATAACACGTTTTAATATTACTCTATGCATGTTGTATTACATTATCTAGTTAGATGTAAGACGGCGTCTGATACCAATTGTTAGATCATGCGCAGCGGAAACAATCATTCAATCAGGCATCAATTACATGTAAACTAGACAACGCAATAATAACGAGATTAGGAACACTAACCTCTTAAAATAATCGCACAAATCTCCCAAACAGCAAGGATCCAGGGCTGCAGTCTTCTGCTATATGCCTAGTAAAACTTTGGACACTTTTGCTTTTGGGTGGGCAAGACATACAACTCTGGGTCCATGATTAGGTGAAACCTGTCTCCCTTTATGACTCGAAATTAAGCCCTAAAAGGGAGCCCAAAAGTCGTAGTGGAATTCTACAAGTAGAATCCTACTCTAACTCAAAAAGGGTAACTTTTCTCCCAAGCTACTTTTACCCAAGTCTGTCCAGGTTTTACTAGGTATAGCAGGGACCACAGAAATAATAAGAGGCTACTAATTATAGTATTAATTCTAAATTAGCATGAATTAATTCTTACTATAATTAATTGCAATTTATTCCACTAAAAAACTGCAATTGAACTCCTCAATATGAATTTCGAAAATTCATCAACACTTATTTTAACTCCCCATGTTAAGATTTCAAATACCAGTTAACTAAATTAAATCACTGAAAATTTAATTCAATTAACTAATTAAATCCTTTATAATTCCGCTTAAACCATCTCATGTGACGGATACAAAATCCACCGGCCGGGTTTTCACATGAAAACTTATAAGCTTATATAAAGGGGTATCATCAAACCCAAAACCAAGTCATGGATTCTATCAACTAATTATTATTCACAAATGTTATTTGTTATTGTCCAATTTATTAGGCATATACTAACTCTAAATAGAGTCGTACCTTTTGATAAATCAAAACAATAAACAAATTACATCGATCATAACAATTATATCAAGATTAGGAGTATAAGCTCATTTAATGAATTAGAAAAAATGTTTTATATGTATTCAGTACAAAAATACCTTTTCTCTACTTGGTCCGTTCAATATACACTGAGTATACTAGCACAAGAAGTTGGAGTAAACCTACTCCCATAATCAAGACAAATTATACAATAATCTTGTGCTACAATCATCAAGATATTTTGTCCGATAATATCTTCGATTGTGAACATAGTTTATTAATTATGAGAACCAATAATTTAATCTTCTGTGCATGAGCTAAGACTCCATACACTAAATTGTTTACTACATAATTAAAAGGACACACATGTTACAAATGATCTATTTAAAACAGTGCTTTATTGAATTGAATAAATTAAATAAATAATTGTTTCATAATGAACAAAATATTATACCATGTCTAAACCGCATGGTTAATAGTATATCCCAACAAGGAGAACATGTTATGTCGAGAAAGAGGCAAATCCGAAAATAAAGAAAGTAAAGAACACTAAATTTTAATGTGAAAAACCCTTCAAATCGAAGGTAAAAACCACGGGATCACAAAGATCCAAAAAGCTCCACTATAACAATATGAGGGTTACAAAAGTTCTCCAAATTGGCTACACAACAAGTGCCAAACACGGAGCAACAATAGCAACAAGAGCAACAACTAATCAATTGAAGAAAGAGGAGAATCCACAAAAATGAGGCTACTGTTTGAGGCTCAAAATCAGATGATACGAGCCTCCAAATCCGATCTCCACTCTTCAAATCCAAGACCAAGATGTTACGAACACTCAGTCAAAATATCAGCCCGATCCAACAGCTAATGAATCGGAAAACGTGATTTGAAGTTGGCTGGTCGGAATAAAAATCTGCAGCAAAACAAATACTTTTCTCTCCTCTTCTCTCTTGATGAAAGCTCTCTCAAAAACCACTCTTATGTGCTGAAGTCTTTCAAAGACTTGTATCAATGAGCATTGAATGATTCTCTAAAGTTGTCCTATTTATAGATCATGAGTGGTGCTTTCCCTTGAAGCCAAAACTAACTCTAAATAGGAACAAAAACCGAATCCAATTCCGAATAGGAATGGAAACCAAAAGAGAATAGGATTAGGTCATTGGGTCTTTGACTGGACAACATGGGCATGTGCCCAACAGAACACACAAGAATATTTGACTCGACAAAATATCTAATGGAAACGAAAGGGCTAGGTCTAAAAGAAACATATTGTCATTATGGACTAGGGTTGGTTTTTCCTTCATAAACTGATAATTAGAGAATGTCTATACAAAGGAAATCTTAATTTGGTGTGCGTGATCTAAAAATTTAAGTTAGAAATATAATTTACACCTTTTATTTTCTATAACACGACTTTTAATACGCACGAGTCTGATTTTTTTTTAATTTTGACTTGGACCAAGTAGATGAAAATGCTAATAGTTGACAGTGACATTGATGAAATCTAATATCTCAAGTACTCGAGTTTATACTTGCTTTGAGATCTCCATTTTTTTTTTTTCAAAATGCTTGAGACACGACTTCACTAATTAAGGTCAGGAACACATCACCAAGAAAAAGAACGATACAACACACCTAGAGCAGACTAGTTCCGGTCATCCCAAGTCCAACTATGAAGTATATATGAACCTTTTAACTACATACTGAGTACGCCTGTTGTCCATTGCCATTAGGTCATTACAAAAGACACTTTGACATACTCATTGTTTAAGAATGAAAGCTACAAGAAAGTCTCACACAAATTAAAATTGAAATAGCACTTGCCTCATTTCCATCCAAGGCAGGTGGAGACAAAGAAAAATGAAGTTTTTAGATTGTGGGAAATGAGTTGCAATGCGCCTCAACTGAGTGGTTTGAGAAAACACATGCATGAAAACATGGTTTGAAAATACTCTAAAAAAGCAGATTCTTTTAGCTGTCCATATGGAGATTAATTCTTCTATTAATTAACGGCCACAATAGTACTGGTTTAGAGACAGAAGTTTTTGTTATCTTATTTTGTCCGCATTCAAGATTTGAGCTTTACGACATCTGATTCGAGATTTTATTCAGCCGTTTTTAAAATCTATTATTTTATCGTATTTAGTGGATTTTGAACACACATAAAAATTTAAGCCAAAATTATTGGATTCGGATAAACTTGTAACTCCGCTTACAATATTAAGATGTTTTACACTGTAAGGTCATTTGTAGGCCTATTAAAAGTCAAATTTAACTGTTCATAAGGAGTGGTGTGGGTTCATATATAAACTGAAAAAGAAGACAAATTCACTTCCAATGTTGAACTTGATTCAATTGATTTAATTAAGAACATGCTCGTTCGTTACTATACTATTTCAAAGTAAAAAATTCCCTTGCATTAAGAGTCCATTATTTTCTGGTTTCCCATCGAGCACTTGCATTGGAGTCCCAACTAATTTGAAGCCGTGTAAAGTCAATTAAAGGTAAAAGTGCTCCTTACCAAAAGAAAAAATTCCTTATCCAAGACTCGAATCTGAAAGCTTTAGTTAATGGTGGAGGGATCCTATCGATCCACACCCAGAACCCTTAGTGGTCTAGCATTGAAAGTCAACATAAGAATATGAAGCAGGTAATAATCTTGATGCATGAAATTAGAGGAGGTACAATAATTGCTGTTTTCCGTATAGAATTAATCCTATACATAACAAGATGCCATTGCAAGACGCATACTTCAAGAAGAACAAACATTACATTAGCACAATCATTATCGAGGATTAGGGGTGGGCATCGGTCAGTTCAGTTCGGTTGTGAATATTATCGGTTCGACATATCGGTTATCGGTTTATAAGCATGCAAAACCGATAAGCGAACCGATAAGAAATTGGTTATCGGTTATTGGTTAATCGGTTATCGGCTGTTATCGGTTCGGTTATCGGTTTACCCGATAAAATAACTTAATCTAGATCAAAACTTCTTCAGAAGCTCGCAACTGAAGATTTTCTTACTATTTTAGTCCTTTAGACATAAGATGTCAAAATGTAGCTAATTAAGAGTGGCACAACAAACAACAACAACCATAGGATAAGCTCAGTGACAGTAACTTGAATTAGCCAAAAACATATAATAATAATATACTGATAACAATTAGTAGCAGCAGAATTCCATTTCATTACCTCCACACATTGCAATGGAAGTCAACAACAAGTTGTGCCACTGCGCCGACTCCTCCTATCCTACTCATGTTCAATACCTTTTTAATACAAAATTATTTACTAGACAGATACAATAATGAGAACTGGCAAGAAGAACAAGAGTATTCAACAGTATTTCAAACCCCAAACACTGTAGAAAACAGTACTAATAGTCTAATACTTCAATAACAGATATTCAAATTTAAGAAACGAAAAAAAAATCATAAAATATGAGCACAAAATAAAAAAATCTTTAACAGTCAAAAATCCCTATATGGAGATGAATTTTGTTATAGAAACCTACTGTATAAGACTTACGCTAGGAGTAAGGTCTATGAAGATGAAGACTTTAAGACGATGAACTGAAGAGTGCGGCTGAGAGAAAATATGAGAGAATGAAGCCCTAGATGTATGTATATACTTAAGGATAAAGTCGCAATTTTATTAATTCTTATTGGATTATCGGTTAACCCATTAACAAAATTGGCAAACCGAGGCCCGAACCGATAACCTAATAGTGAAAAAATTCTAAACCGTTATCGAATCGTTAACCCAATAACCCGATACCGATAACCCAATAAGTTTTTTTCGGTTTGGACTATCGGTTTTACCCGATATATGCCCAGCCCTATCGAGGATTAAATTATCGTTAACATCTCGAAGTTATATTAAGAAAAGTTTTTACATAATGTGCACCTGATTTTTTTTTAAAAGATACATAAACCAAAGAATTAGTATTACAAAATATATATTTTGTCTTTGAAAGTTTGAAATGTCAAAATATATACAAAAGAGTACTTCAAGAACTTGAGTGGAATTGTCCACGAATCAAATTGACCATAGATGTCGCTAATGTATTCTCTCAATAAAAATATTCATCACATGTGAGCAACTAAGTATGTGCACATTTCTTTCCTTTATTGATGATAAAGTTATTGTTTTTATTATTGTTATTATTATTATAACAACATTAAGGAATCACAAATGTGGTGGCTAGCTTGCCGCAATTGCATAAATCAATCTTAAGCTGTACCCAAGAGTAGCTCCAAAAAGAGTAAGAGAACATTAAAGGAGCCATTTATTAGTAATAAAGAAAAGCTAGCAAATGGACAAAATTCATGCAATTAAAGAACATACTATGAGCAAACATCCTTAGCTCCGTCTTAAAGAAAAACACTCCACAAATTGTAGATATACAATAAGCTTAACTATGACTTCCAACTCTTCCAAGTTATGTTGCTTGAATCTTCTAAAAATCTCGCCACATTTGTGTAGGTATCCTTCAAAAATGCATAATTTTTTAAGAACTTCGACACGAGTGCGACGGCATATTTGGAGGATCGAACATCATATAGCTTCTTGAGTACATGAAATGATATCCGATTGTCTTCATTTGCTAATCTTTCTTAATATTATCAACTACAAATGCTGCAACTACATTGTCTGTTTGACCAAGTAAACTGCTTAAAGATCTAGCTTTGACCACTCCAAGCCTTTTCATCTTCTTCATTAATGGCTTTTTCTTATCATCTTCACCATCATAATGATCTTCCATATTATCATTTGACAAAGGATTCTCCTCTTCTTCTTCTTCTTGTTTCTTCTTCGTTGCATTTCGAACACTAGTCATGCTTCTAAGTCTTCCTTTTCCCAAATGATGTTCACACAATGAATAACCCACAAGGGTTTGTTGACAACACCTCCATCCTCTCCCATTTACACGACTGCACCTTGATCCCTCTAATATAACACTCCCTCTTTTGCTCTTCTTATTTACACCAAAACCCTCTTTAGTAATTAGTCCATTTCCCCCCTCTTTCTCCTCTTGATCATTTTCTTGTGGGCATTTCTTGTTAGTCTTTGACTTCATCTTAGCCTCTATTGTGTTAATATTGCTTGTGTGGTTGTAGCTGTCTCTTCTCTTTTTGAATGGAATTACTTTATCTCCTTCACACCATCTCCCATCTACAATACATATGCATGTCCAATATCATAGCATAAAAGAAGAATAATAGTAGTAAATACATTTGATGAAGCATTAATCTTGATTGTGGGATAACCTATGCTGTTCGGACTCTCCAAATATGTCAGATCCTCTAAAATAGTGCATTTTTTAAGGATCCGACACGGATGCGGTAGCATTTTTAGAGAGTCCGTGCAGCATAGGGGTAGGTAATTTTGAAGATTTACCTAGATCAGATGAAGAAGATGGCTGTGGAAACAAAGAACCTAGTTGTGGAGTTGTTGAAAAGCTTTGCTTACTGAGAACAAGCAAGAACAAGAAGATCCAGAAAAAGTTCGTGAATTCCCAAATTATAAAAGGAAAGTGTACAGTGCAACAATCAGAATTTTCTGTGTGATGTGTTTTAATATAAATGGGGACCATGTTATAATTTATAGGGGATAGAAAAAGAAAAAAAAAAAGATGGAAAAATGCAAGACAAAACAAAAACAAATGGATTAGATGAGATGGGAAATTGAATCATTGGATAGGAAAGCATCGTGGGCACATATTATAGCCAAAGCTAAAACAAACCTAAACAGTATTTTCCAGTTACAGTAATATTTCTTGTTTCTCGTATTATTCACCTTTTTTTTTACTATCATAGAAGAATTCATGAAAGAAATAAAGGGATTTTTTAACTTTTCTTTTTTATATATGCATTATATTCTTACTTGTTATCATTGTCATTACTACCAAAACTCTTCTCGTTCTCTCTCCATAATTTCTCATCTTCAGCTTCCACATCCTGCAAATTAAATCACATCCAAAAAAGCCACAGATAATAAATAAGAAAATATATAATAACACAATACATCATGGGCAAACTTACGTTCTTTGGGTGCGTCAAAACTCCATTTTAAAGAAAACAAAAGGACAGAAAGAAAGACAGTGCAATTCTCGATAAAATAATTAGGCTTATTTTAGGATGCATATGATAATAATAGCAATACTTTTATCAACAAAACTAATAATATATAACTCACTTTTTCTTTCATTTTCTGTTGATTACTATTGCCACCAAAGAAAACCCAAGTCGTTGCTTTGCCTCTAGAGACCGCCGGTTGATCAGACGGCTGTGAAATAGTTAGATTTGGAAGATCAGACGGTAAATATTCGTTCTTTGTGGTTTCTGGGCAAGGATTTATCTCACGTTTCAGTTGTTGCACCACTACCGGCCTATTGAGTTGGGGATCTGATTCTGAAGGAGGAGGAAAACGCTTCCTGATTCTCATAACTGGATGATACCAAAGTAAAATAAAATAAAATATATATATATATATATATATATATATATATATATATATATATATATATATATATATATATATATATATATATTACTACTTTGTATGTGTATATTACTGGTAAAAAACAAAAAGGGAGGAAAAAGGGCTCAAAGGGAAGAAGCAAAAACTGGAATTTTTCAGGTTTGATTTTGAGAAGAATTTTTGACAAAGTGTTTGTGAGTTTCTCGGGTTTTTCTCTCTCTAGCTTTTATTTGTTGCACCACACAGACTAATAAGACCACTAGGACATAAAGAAAGAAAGAGATAGAGATGGTATGCGAAGTGGCACGTGCGATGAGGAACGTAGATGGTGAGCAATGGCACGTGTGCACAATGTGTGGGTCCGGAGGCGACCGGCAACCGGAATCGGTACCGGATGTGAATGCGTGAGAGAGAGTACAAAATGATGGGAGGGTTTTTTTGGGGTTTGTAACTTTGTATTGTGGTTTTAAACTTTAGGAGTCTGTTTGGAAAGCCACTTAAGAATTGATTTGTTTGGAATATTTTTCCGATCAAATAATTACTTGGTCAGCATAGAACTGGGTATAATTGGAGCGGTTTAATTACACTCTCCAATTCTCATAGGGAAGATGAGAATTGGTGGTAATTACATACAAGGTTACTTTTTAATTTTTTTTCCTTTTATTTTTATTTTATTTTCTTTATAACTCTTTATTTCTACTATTTTAATTTCTTTTATTTTAATTTTTTAAATTTTAAAATATATTTTTTTTTGTACAATATTTATCTTTTATTTCTTTACCTTTACTTCTTGTGATTCCATGTAATTGCTTGTATTTTCTTTCTTCATTTAGCGTGACTCCGTTATATTTGATATATGTTAAACTTTTTTTTTTTGGATTTTGAAATTATGTTATATTCATGGTTCTAATTTACTTGTTTTAGTAGTATTGGCTTGTTATTTCATATTGTATGTTGTTCATTTTTTAATTAGAATTGATAGATTAGTTTTGTCTAACATTTGAATAACATTATGACATTATATTTATAAATATTAATTTATTTTATCAAACATGCATTCCATGATGTTCTTACAAAACGTATATTTTTAGTTTTTATAATTAATTTTAAATATTATTAATTTGGAAAATAGATATTAATTAATTTTACAATATTAGTTATAAATATATGATTACTAATTAATTTAGGCGTAATGGCTTCCTGGCCACTTAAACTTGTAAGGCTTTTGAAAGCCGATACACAAACTTTGAACTTTCCCATTTGAACACTCAAACTCGTGAAACCCTTAACTAATAAACACATTTGACCCTTGACCCTACGTGCGTGTATTACACATTCACTACAACATTTTAGACAGTTAACCACACTCAAAAAGTGTGGCCTAAACTATACAAAAGTGTGGCCTTTGATCAAAAGCCACACTTTTCGACCTAAGGCAATGTTTTTCAGGGGGTGTCCAAAAAAGGCGTAACCTTTGCCCAAAGACAACGCTTTTGGTGAAGCAAAGGCCACGCTTTTAATACCTCCTCTATGGCCACGTTTTTCAAGTCTTATAGCCACATTTTTGAAGTGTGCCGTATGTTTCCTTATAGGCCACCCTTTTTAAGTGTTGCTCCTAAAGCAACAGTTATAAATCGTGGCCATTGTTACCATACATGTCACACTTTTGTTAGTATCCTATGGCTGCATTTTTAAAGCGTAACAATTTTGTCTACATTGTAAAGCATATATTTTTAACTTTTATAAAAACCACAATTGTGTGGTTAGAAAGTTAAACATTCATTCCGAATATCCTGTAATCACATTTGTTTCAAACATATTAACTATGTAGATCTCAAACACTACATAAACTAATAAATAACAAAAATTATTTTAAATGCGCATATTTTCTATCGACTTCAAAAAAGAAATATTTCATGTATTACATAAGCTAATAAAGCCAATTGCTTCAAGGTGCATACTAGCAGTGACCTTTTACAAAATTATATGTATTTAAATAGTATCATAAACATAATAATTATCCAAAACTCTCCATCACTAAATTCCAATAAATCAAGTTTACTTTGGAGCACCATTTCAATTGCATCACCAGAATTTCCTACAGATACAAAATGAAATCAAAAGTTAGATAGAACTAATATGCAAGTGTAAACTCAAGTGAGAAGATTTCACCCACATTTTCACCTATCAACACAATACTGTCAACGGAGAAAAGGACATAGTTAAAGAAGGAGATAATAGATAAGGGACATACAGAAACAAGTATTAAACACATTTCTTATGCTAATAGCCAATTGAAATTTAGAGAAATGTTTTGGTAGATTTCAGCGAACAGTGGATGTAGAATACTTTGCAGCACCCCAGATGAGTACCTTTGTACAATCATATTAAGTTGGCCTCGTCATTTAGGAGGATTACATTTTTAATTGCAAGCGTATGACAGAATATGTAATTAAAACTATCCGACTTAGCATACTCCTCATCAGGAAATATGTTTAAAAACTATCTCTCTTGCATAACTCATAGATTTTTTATGTTCTTTATACAAGATAAATAATTCATTTGATTTCACAGTAGTATATATTTCACAATTTCAGGTTCCATAATAGTACATATTTCAGAATTCTACTGGCTTGAAACCTAAACTAATGCCCTTTAGACAATTGCATGCTTGGATGGAAGCATATCGGATATTGCTTAACTAACCTTGTAGAGTATATTTCTCTACTCAGCACTCTCAAATTACTTTTGTCCATGTGCGTCTCTTCTTCATGTGGATGCAGAACCAACAACCTAAAATCAAAGTATAGAATGCAGTCCAACAACATTATGGAACATTGATCAAAGAACCAAGATGGTAATTGTGCAAAAAAAAATAACAGAAATAGTTTAAAATTTAGTACAATTATAAGTTTGTAGGTATTAAACAGACCTTTTTCTCTAAAAGCTTGTACAGAATACTTAGTTTGTTCATAATTATTCTGCAGAAACAGTATGCTGAAACACTGTGCAGGATCGCTGCAAAAATATTGTACAGAAATACAGAAAGAAGACTATGAGACAGAAGATTATACCTAAAAATGAAACATTGAGGTGGTGAAAAAGCAATAAAGTTGTTGTATGAATGTTATTATTTCCTCCGGTAAAATTCCGTATAAAGGAAACAAATCTAAACTAATACAAATCAACTTGGAAGGGGAAAAAGTAACAATAGTGAAAACTAATTTCAAATGCCGGTAATTCCATTTTAGATAATCATTCCAATATGTAATATGCCTAATACACAAAGAACCTAGTATAGCAAATGATTGAAGTGATACCTATTTGACTAAGGTAAATATAAAAATTGTGTAGGCTAGCAACTTTGAGAAGAAAAGGCACAAATAAATATTCAGAAACATGCTAGTAGCAAGACAAAGCATATCCAAATATAACTACAGCCCAACAGAACTACCGCAACATATCAATGTAGAAGAAGGTGAAAGTTACCTTTCATTGGCACAAGAAAATCTGAATCAAGAACAAATGACTCGTCTTCTTCTGGCGACGAAAAGGAAAAAACAAAGCAACTAAAGTAAGACATTCGATCTAACAATACCTTGCAGTTCTGATTAACCTAATCCCTATGATATCACCATTGCCCCGTTTAAATCTCGACGTTTGCATAAAACTTTAGTCTAGCATTAGTTATAAATGAAAATTCAGCAGTTATCCAATTCAACAAATATCAGAAATCTATGAAACTACAGGAAGCTCCTTTTCAAATTTAACAAAACAAAACACTTCATGAGAAAGTGAATCACCCTTTGGCCAGAGTAGGTAACTGACGACATGTGAAGATTTTTCCTATTTTAGTAAACAACAAAATCTTTTATCGCACAGTTTTTGTGGAACGTCATCAACAAGAGTTATGCCTCTTTCTAAAATTCTACGTTTTGATGTCTATTTTCTGCAGTTTGATATTTTAATTCTACTATTTAGAACTCTTGCACCTTATCATTAACTTGAAATTTGACTCACAGATGCATGACGTTACACAGTCTTTGTAACAATTGACAACATAAGACAAATTGTAAGTGTAGGCCGCATAAAAATATACTCATGTTGGTTTTGCAGTGGAAGTACCTAAAAGAAAGTTAACACTGACCTGCCTAGCACCTTTTTGTTGGAATATCTTTTGAATGAAAGAGAGCACCCTTTTATCCCAATGAGTAGAATAAAATCCTACAGAAGTAAAAGTATCAGTACCTATCCCTATGTTGATTAAAGAATTTTCATAATGACCCGACAAAATAGAAATAAAAACCAAAAATCACACTCTAATAACACAAAAAGCTCACTCAAAAACTTCTATTAGTCTAATTTGATATTGAGCATCTTTAATCATTGTTTTAATTTAGCTACAATCTTAGACATATTTGGTGGGACTACACATTAAAATATCTGGCCGTACACTATATTGTTGTTTATGCCAACCAAGAAAAGGTCAATAATATACTTGTGGTCCATGTTATTTTAGAGAAAAAATTTATGTACAGCCCGTAAGGGCTAAATACTCCTTTCACCTCTCAAGGAAAGATTATTTGGAGGACTATCTAAGTTTGCGGGTTTTATTTACATATCATAGGCACCTTACTGAAGGCTTGGCATATATTATGACAGCATGGATAATAAAATGCTAGTAGCAGCAATGGCAAATTAAATATGAACATGTTTGGAATAGTAAAAGTTTGTGGCGCTCAAGAACAACACGAAACTCACCTGGGAGAACTGAAAGATCCTGAAAGCATGTAGTTGAGAGAAAATCGAAGAAAGAATAAGCTAAAAGTAAATCATGCTGAATCGCATATGAATGAAGTGATAAAAATGATGATTCCCAATGACCATCCCAGAAACAACAATCGACTAAAAAACAATCAAGTGGAGAGAACAAGTAGACTGAACAGAGAAACGTACCTGAGAGAAGAGAAATTTTGAGATGGCAAACTTTAG